GAAAAACCACGCAGGCCCGGGGAGAAAATGCAAACTCCACACATGGAGGCCGGAGCCGGGATCGAACCCACGACCTCTGCACTGTGAGGTCGACGCGCTAACCACTGGATCAACGGGCCGCCCTGCAGCAACATTTGAGTGCCCAAAATAAAATGAATGCTTCGCCTTCATTGATTGAAATTGTCTTTTGTTTCTGAATGGGCAGCTTTGCTAAATGAGGGAGAACCAGTAAATAGGGAAAAAAGGCAGGCTCAAGCAGGATTTTTAACAGTTTTCCAGCCCACACTATAAAGTGGAAAGAACGGGGAATTCTTCCGGAGATCTGTAAACACTGCAAATTCCCAAAATGCAGAACTCGCTGCTGTGGTGGGTGGTCCCAGTATGTTCCGCATAATTTTAATGTATGAACTGTCCATTGTCAGTGAATAATTAGATGCATAATAACCTGACCAAAAAATATCAGTGACATCATCGACGAGTCGACATCGACTGGACATTAATCACATGAGCAGACTGCAACAATCTGAAGCCATACCACTCCGAGTGTATATGCTGTGGTTAAAATGCCATCTTTTTTTGTTTGTCAGCTATCTTTTTAGTCTCCTGCTCTCCTCTCTTACATCCTCCTTAAACAAACTCAAAGCAAAGCTCTCCTTTGAAAGACTCGAGAAAGATTGAGCTGGACTCGTCAGCTAAAGAGCCTTTGACAAGATGAACTTGCGGAGGATGTGGCACTCTGGTGCCCTGTCTCATCTGCTCTTATAGCCATCAAAACATTTATGGTAAAGAATTAGCAGGCTGGCTGCCACCTCACGTCCACAAAGGCAAGCCAACCCCGAGAGCACAAAAGACAAAGTATCTGTGATGCAGATCGGACAGAATTTCCACCTAAATCAAGTTTGTTTGAAATGAACAATTTCCTTTCATTTTTGCTAAAGTGGCTAAAATGTGTAGTACATAAAATTCAGAATAGAAAACTACTATTATAGCTTTTTAGAGCATTTTTTATCATCATTATGCAAGTAAACGCAAACAACCTTCAGAAGGGGCATCTTAAACCTCAATTTGGCCCATCAGGATCGGGTTGACATAGATAATCTCACATGTTTATGTGGAGACGTCGGTGTTGATGATAAATGATATGTTGGGGGCGGAGGTGATTTTATCACCAGTCTTCACTCGGCGCACATATAAGCTTTCCGATGCCGTATGCATGCGCTAGAGCAACAAACACAAACAACAACGGACATCTGCTTCGAGGAACGCTTACATGAGGACATCTGGCAGTATTTCTATCCAACATCATAAACAATCAGGAGCTGTTTGTTTGTTGCTTTTTAAAAAAATTTGGATTATAAATGCACATGCGTCCAGCATGTTTATCGAGGGGAATGCATGGACCAATGTGCATGCATGGAATTCATACCGACGTCCTGAAATGTTTCATGAATGGAACAATGTGCACATCTGCGGTCAATGTGCGATTTCGAAGCGCCAGGCGTTCGCACAAAATGGAAACTATAAAAGACCGAAGAAGACAAGTTTTAACCAGAATGTCTAATAGCTGTGTTGGTGTGAACATTAAAATGTAATCACTCGCACGAACACGACCAGATGAAATTCTTTCTCGCGCACACTGAAAACATGTCACATATGCGACCAATTTGGTCGCAGTCTCGAGCTCCGTATCAAATAAGGCATCCTATCCTATCTTATCATGAAACTTGGTCTCTTGCGATGTGTTTGTTTGAAATAGCTTATGATTTCAGTCAATATGCCCCTCAAATGTTGCCAATTCAATAAATGACTATTTTCAGCTCTTAGCGATCTATAAAATGTCTTGAAACTCTGCTTTGCATCACAATGTTGAATATTGTATTAAATCTTCTTATCTATATTGGGAGGTTTGAAAAAACATTCAAATTACCCTGTAACGTTTTCTGACTTAAATGATCCTCACTGTAATTTTCAATGTCTATCAAATTTGGAGAAAAATATGTCATGAATAAAATGTTGGAACACAGGGCAAATGTTGAATAAGCGATGAAAAATGCATTGCGAGCTCCATTCCCACATGTGAGGTCATTAAAGTAAGTGTGTGTACCATTAAAAAAAAAAATCTACGATGCGGATTACAAATTGCGGTATTTTTCCTCCATTGCTTCAAGACACATTCATGAACAATAACGAAAAAGTGTGTTCATGAATGTGTGTGTTTTCTGTATCTCACTGAAGATGGCGGGGGCATCGATTTGCGATTAGAAGCTTTGACTTCCTGCTGCCTTCCATTTCACTTTTGCTTGTTAAAAGACTGAAATTTCTGACTTCCAGCGACTGCTTCAATTTCATTGAACGTGCTTCTTAAACTGTGCGAGGTGTGTCCAAAAAACAAAAACAAAAAAAAAAAACATACTTCAAATCCAAACTCCAAGTTTTTATTTTTTGTAATAATCCCTCTGGTGCCTCACAATTTTTCCCAGGGCACTTAGAATCAGCCATGAGTCGTCTTGCCACAAGGCCCGCCTCTTCTCTCCGCACTAAACAAAACGAACACCGCACACGGATCTCTTTCTAAATGAGCGAATTGATCTTCTGGCTAGAATTTATGCACATCTGATGGGCTGCATCGGATCGGCACATATTTTGCATTTTATGTCGCATTGGTGATTGGCTGTAATGTCATAATTTGCCAATGTATCAATGACATCATTGATCGGATCCGCAAAAATCACTCCGGGGATATTCTGTGCTGCCACTCCAAGGTTTCTCTGCATGGAGGCTACACCTGCATTCCCCCCTCCCCAAATATTTAAATAATGTTGGGACGTGGGGGTTTCGGGGCAGGTTTTTCAGCCAAGTTTTGTGTATTGGATGTTTATCAATAGTTTTGGGAGAATTTTTAAGATTAAGTTATTTTACTTTTTTCAAAATGCATTTCAATGGGTGTCAATAATACGCAAATCTTTGGCTATTCGTCAGCCGGGCAGGTCCCAATCCCCTGTGAAGAGTGGGGGTTGACTCGAGAGTAAATAAGCAAGTTGTTGAAATAGATTGCATGGCTTGGTCCAGAAAGGCAATCGGTTATATAAATATATTTTTAAACTCACTGGTCGGTGATTGGCTCCAAAATCCTGATTTTGGAAAGCCTACTTCTAGCCTACAAACTCGTAGTTTGTGATTTGGGTTTGAAATATAGCTTTTATGACACCAGTCCTGGAACTTCACTGACACACCTCATGTACGGCCCCTGGTCCAGAATTTACACATGACTCCAATATTGTGTATGCTGCTTTTGTGGCCCTATTTTCTGAATTGCTGAATCGGGCTTTGCTTTCATGACAATTTTCTCTCAGACCTCTTTTTTATTAGTCAGACATTGACCTCATATATCCCCTCGGCAACCTAATTGCTCCGGCTAATTCAACAGTGCAATAGGGCAAAGGCTGTTTAACGGCCTAATCTGTTAGAACTAATTCTTTGGCGGACAGTTAAGAACCACACACATGCATACACACCAGGAACCATCCTCTCTATGTGTTTAATAGCCAGGGTGTCTTGGTGAACAATGTTGAAGGACTCTTAGTCATTTAAAAAAATGTGTACGGGAGGTTTGAGGCACAACTGATGCCTGCTTGCCTGACAATTTCAGCTGAATGCTGTTTTTCTTTTCCTAATTCAGCAATGTCTGAGGTGCCCATTGTGCATCTCCTTTTGGTTAATTGTGTTCGGAATGGGGCGTTATGTAAGCAGTGCTCTTTTGCTGCTGGGTCTGAATAAGAGGAGATCAAAAAGGGGGATGGAGGCGAGGAGGGAAGGCATGGAGGAAGAGCGTTTGCTGCCTTCTCCTCTTCTTCATTCTCACCACATTCCCTCCACCGCACCACTTGCCCTGGATTCCCCCGCTCTCCCTCCCTCACTCGGACATTACACTTTAATCTCGTGTTCCGTGCTGCTTTCTCCCTCGCAACCTCACCCAACTCATCTGGCCTATCACTCTTTAGCTTTCTTTTTATCAGTCCATCACACAACCACCCATCCATTTCACTCTGCCTTTCTTCGTTAATCCAGTGTCCTGTGCAGCTTTGGTGGGGAGAATCTCATTCTCATCTGGAGTCTCACACTATTGCCCGCGATGACTGTTAATCCTCTGCTTGTACATATGAGTATATGAGCGTGTGTTTACAGCCTCAAAAGAGTTGAGCGGTGTGTGTGTGTGTGTGTGTGTGTGTGTGTGCGCGCGTGCGTGAGTGTGTGCGCGTGTGTGTGTACGTGTGTGTGTGCGCGCACGTGCTTGTGTGTGTGTGCGTGTGCGTGTGTGTGTGTGAGAGAGAGCGAGAGAGAGAGAGCGAGAGAGAGAGAGAGAGAGAGAGAGAGAGAAAGGGAGGTTGCAGGTGCTGCAAGTGGAATATAAGGGCATGTCCGTTGGGGAACGCAGACACACACACACACACACACACACACACACACACACACACACACACACACACACACACAACGAACACACGATTTGTGTCACATGAGCAGCAGCGCGGATGAGAGGGAAAAAAGCCCACGCAATCCCTCAAAGTATTATCTCTCACTTTAATCTTCCCAACTGTCTCTTTTTCCTCCCCGCCAACCTTGTCTATATAAAAGCAGGTGTGATCAAATGCACGTTTTTCTCGTTTAACATCAGTTGTCTGACAATAAAAGAGGAATAAAAGCTTCCAAAAAGAGCAGCCTTGCCATCGGAAGCTCCATTAAGCCGACACGCATCCTACCTTCGCCCCCACGTTTTCCCCTTCACTTTGTGGCTCCCCCTGGGCTTCCCGTGTCAAAAGCATCCCCAAACTTAGCACACGTTCAATCGGCTCCGGCAAATGCCGATGAGCGACTTTACTCCCCTCCTCCGATCGCAGCTCGTGCAGCTGCGCGATGCGATGCGCACCATTTGTCACTCTCACCTTAAAGCCGCACGACGTCGCAACTGCGCTAAAGCGAGAGCAGAGAGACGCACTCACCTCGGAGGAAGTGTTTTCACAGCCGCGGTCCAGTCGAGTCCACTTGGCTGCCCCGCAAGTCCACAACAGCGTCTCGTCATCGCGCACACCACAGTGCAGCCTGCTCTCCTCCTCCTCCTCCTCCTTCGCCTCTTCCTCGTCAAAGGGCGCAGTGTCCCTCCCTGAGCGCAAAATATCGCCGTGCGTGCGCCTAAAAAGTCTGATTTTCTCCACCGGCTTCTGAAGCTTCTCGACACGTAGTACTTCTGAACCGGAACCTAAACCTGAATCGTTCAGGAGCAACTTTGGTCACCTTCAGCGCACTTTGTTGTCTGCTCCCCCTCACTCGTCTGGGACCGGGCGAGAGCGCGCGTGTCCGTTTGCGAGCGCGCTCGTCTAAATACGCGGGCGTGTATTATGAATAGACGTGTGTCGATGCGTGTGCGCGAGTCGTGCATCAATGCTTGTGCGTTTGTGTGTGTGTGTGTGTGTGTGTGTGTGTGTGTGTGTGTGTGTGTGTGTGTGTGTGTGTGTGTGTGTCTACGAGTATGAGTCAGAGGTGTACGAAATTAAGAATTGAATAGAATGATCCCTAAATTCAATTATTGAATTCGGCTGGAGGTGGCAATGCAGGAAGAATTGCATTTGAGATTCCAATTGCAGGAAGTATAAATTGAAATTCAAAGAACTTCATGATGCAAAATCAGTGTATTTCACAATGAGACTTTGCAGTCTATAAGCATATCTAAAACAACAATTTCATACAAATATTACTGTAAGGAATTTATGCACACAATACTGAGCGTAAAGAGTAAAGTGTAGCATCATTGTTTTTTAAGAATAGTCTAATTGTTTTGCTGTTTTATTCACATTAAAGGCCAAGTCAGATAAATCGTTCACCCATCCATTATCTGAACTGCTTATCGTCACAAGAAAATTCAAATTGTACAAATGCTGATCGTTGTATGATGGAAGTTTAGCACTTCATTTCCCACAACCTTCCCTTATCAAAGTCTTGAAAATGGCTGCTCAAACATTTTGGACATTTTGTTTGCAGCTGATATGTGATGAGAATGTGTTTCTGACTTCCTGTAATGCATCCTGGTGGTGGAGTCAAATTCAAATTCGACCATTGAATTGAATTGAATCACAAAATTCGGAACTTTGCGCACACCTGGTGTTTGTGTGTGTGTGTGTGTGTACAATGGACGCCTATGTCTAGATGCATATCCTTTATGTCTCAACTCAACTCAACTGTATTTATAGAGTATAAAATAGCCCATGCTATATTGTGTATTTTTCTGTTTAACATACACTTTTTGTGTTCAAATGTGTTCATGCGTATAAAAAGACTGTTTGAGTGTATTTCAATATGTGTGCGGGTGGGTTGGGGGAGGTGGGGAATTGAAGGCTAAAATAATGAACACAAATTTTATGTTTTTATATTGCGGCTTTTCACCTATCACAGTTGGGTCTGGAACGTAATGAACGGGGGATTGTTGGGGTTTGCATACATTGTGTGTGTACGTGTAGTGTGCACGTGTCTCTGTGTCTAGAGTGTGTATGTGTGCCTTTGTGTGATTATATAGTGTGTTCAATATGCGTGTATTCGGTTTCATGTGTGTGTGCGTGCGTGCGTGCGTGCGTGCGTGCGTGCGTGCGTGCGTGCGTGCGTGCGTGCGTGCGTGCGTGCGTGCGTGCGTGCGTGCGTGCGTGCGTGCGTGCGTGCGTGCGTGCGTGCGTGCGTGCGTGCGTGTGTGTGTGTGTGTGTGTGTGTGTGTGTGCGCATGCTGCCTGTCACACTACTTTTACTGGGCTCTATGAGCTCGGTTACAGGTTCAGCAGGTCGCAATGGTCCAGTGAGTACAACATCTCACTGAGTGTTAGTCTGACAGGTACACACACAGACACGCACGCACACACACACACACATACACACACACACACACACACACACACACACACACACACACGAAATGCCTGATTTTAGGATTGACATGCAGCCAGTTTGGAGCCTCCTTTGACAGTTGGTTTGAAGTCATATGGAACTGCAATGTGTCACGCTTGCCAAAAACAATCGAAGACTTAATAAAAACACATATGCACTCGCTGACACTGTGCTGCAGTGGGGAAGTCATCCGTGGATCACTTGTTATTCGTTCATTCAGAATGGGATCTTGATGATTTTTAACTGCTGCAAAGACACACAAGTGTGCGCCTTTGAGCCTCCACAAAAGCACATTTTGCCCCTTTGGGAGCTGTCTACTGTACACAACAATACCCCTCTCGCTAGAGCAGGGTGTGATGAACATTCGCTCCCATGCCAAGTTAAAAATAAACATTTTAATGGGCATACCTCAGAGCAACCGTAGAGGCTTGAATGGGCCCCTCGGGGCTCGGCCAGGGTGCAGACTCATCACCAGCACCCTCTGGTGCTTTGACTGGCTCAGCAAGACTACCAAATAGTAATTTCTTCATGTTAAAAACAGTTTTTGTCACAGAGTGGGAAATAAAATCTCCGTTCCTGTAAAAATGAGTTTTCTCTCAAACACATGTCTTAGCAACAGGTGGTGCGTAAACTTCTATCCATTAGACCATTTTAGCTAATTAGGAGCTTCAAGAAAGTCATTATCAAAAAGGCATAATAGCTGGTGGGGCAATTGCAAAGTTTCTCCTGAATATCACTTGTGAAGAGAAAGTCAACCAATCAACAAACAAAGCAAAAAAAAAAGAAATCTCATACATGCGACTCCCTAAGATACAGTACTGTAACATTAGACATTTCTTGCAGAGGATAAAGAATACATGCCTAAGAGTGTTGTGATATTCGATATCGGAACTGAAGCCCAGTGGTTTCAGAACAAAAAGGACCACATCAGTGCCTCTGATTGAAGCAGTTGAACACATAACAAATGCGCTGGTAAAAATCGAACTTTCAATCGGAATATTTATTGACCAAAAAAATCCAAACAAACAAAACAAAACAAATCAAAAAAGGATTTTCATCCCATAAATCACTCACTCTTACTCAAAAAAGTTGCGGTTAACAGAGTACACATAAATAAGCAGGTACTAAAGCGTTTTCTTTTTTTTTTTTTTTTTTAACGGAGATACCCGAATAACTCGAGGACCCGCTTCAGCCCTAATATAAATTATTAAAATTCATATTTTTTGCAAATGACACAAATATATTCTACCATATTGGCAATTATAAGTATTTATATGTTAAATATTATATACAATATTGAGTACAGTAAATCAAGAACTCGATCATAAAAACTGATGGAGCTTAACCCTTTCAGGGACAGCGGTTATTACAGTGGACAGCTTATCACGTCATCAGGTTACAGGGTGCATGAAAGGGTTAAAGTCATTCTCAATGTAAATAAAATAAAAATGTTGACGTTCAGTATCAATAAAAGTAACCCAGAAGTTATAATATGTACTGATAGTGTACAATGAGAAAGTGTAAAAGAATATATATTCTTCGGAGTAAAAATTGATAGCAAGTTGTCGAGGAATGCCCACTTCAGACATATGAGAACTACATTTCCAAAGACGTCTCAGTCACAATTGCTTCTCCTCTTTCTTTCATGATGCTTTCAGAACATTGTACTGTTCCTTCGTCCTCCTCTACATTGTGTTCTGTTGCATTACTGTTATGCATCCAGCCATACTTTGTTGAATCTTCTGGAAAGCGCTTTGTTAAAGCTTCTGCTATTACAGTATTGTGAAAGCGCAGTATAAAGAAAGACGTTTGTTTTATTAGGACTGTGGAGAGATGTAATTTTACCATGAGCGAAGCAAAAGTCATATGCCGTGATATATAAATGTGAGATGAAGGTGGGATTGAATCCATTTTCTCATTCCCACTGAGCAGAACATGTGAGCTTGTTTTGTTGTTGCTTTTTTGATGCAGGATCATTTTAGGTTTATGAATGCATTTGCGCTGTTGTTTGGCTTCTTGTATACGTGAGATGTTTTGTTCTGTTCAAAAACAAAACAAATTAAAGGACATCTTTTCTGTCTACATGTGTTACTCACTCGTTTGTGTTCAAATATCCATTGTCGTGTTTGTGTGGGCAGTCCTAAAATGTTTCTTCCATGAAGGAATGTTGCTGTGTCATGTTGATAAGGTGATCTCATTCACGGACTTAACTGCCGTGCGTTAGTAGTACTTCATGTTTTTATGTCCCGGCCCGCCATTAAGAATCAAACATTAAACGGTGCTGTTAATTGCCATTTGAAATCGAGTTTGGTTCTTTCATTTGCTTTCGCACTTCCCCTAATGAAAAATATGGCAGTCATATTCCTACAGGAACTATTAGTGCGGCCACTGTTGCTGTAAATTATGGTCTCGATATCCCTCACGGTGTCAACTTAATGGCCCTGGTAAGGCAATTATTTTCTTAAGTAAAACTGGGTTAAAACACGGTTGTGCCACAATCCCCGAAATTCTAGATTACTGGTGTCAAAGTCAAGGCCCAAGGGCCAGATCCGGCCCGCCACATCATTTCATGGGGCCCGCCAAAGCAAATCATGTGTCAACTTCCATGATCCTTGCTTAAATCTGTTCCGAACTCTCAAATTGTCATACGTAATAACTAACGGTGACAGTTTGCAATAATCCTGTTACGCTCTTTACACTCACTTAAGCAATAATTGAACAAATACCTGACTGATATCAAAACTAGTGAGTCATCATTTTTTTTTATTTTTTATGTACAAGTAATAATGCGATGTGATGATTAAACATTATTTCGGTTTCACTGTCTTAACGGCCCTCCGAGGGAAAACGTAACTCCAAAGTGGCCCGCGACAAAAACATTTTTTTGACACCCCTGTTCTAGATAAAACACACGATAAAAAACACATGATTCAGTGTCAAGGGCTAAGTTGTTGCAGTATTGACTCTGTGATGCTAATTGATTGTGTAACTATCTCTGTGATCTGTTTTAATTTCCCCGGCCAAGCATTAAAATTGCGAAGATGTATTTTTTGCTCGCCGTTTGTTCCTTGTTGCTTTTTTTAATTTAAAAGGACTATCCATAAACGAATCAGCCAGTGGTGGCATGTATGCTCAGGAAGAAGCTATTTACCTGTATGAGAAAGTAGCTTTTTATAATTTACAAAGGAAATGATGGCACAATTATGTTTTCACTTTGGTTTGGAGTACAGTATTTATTTTCTTTGTTTCATTTGTGTCATGCTAAATATATTCTATCCACTCCAGAATGCAAATGATAGCGTCGCATCTCTGTGTCCCTTGTGTTTTACATAATTCTCACTGACCCAAAGAACAGACGGTTGACTAACGAGTTTTCACTTTTGCTCGAGGAATTCTGCCTTTTTTCATCTGCTGATTGAGTCATGCGAACAATGTCTT